TAATGAAACATTTAACTCTCGATTCTTCGATTTTAATTTGTTGTCTCTCTCCATTAATCTGTGTCAGGTTTTTATATAGTTGCTTGTCTAGAGATGAGTTTTGAATTACATTCAGCATTCTCAAAATTATTGCATTATTTTTGCCTTTTTTGTATGGAAAAGTTGAGTCAAAATTGGCCTTTTTTGTTTTATATGTTCCATATTATGAATTTCTTCGCCAATCACCATTAGTACATATTTTAGTCTTCAATTGGTTTTGGGAATTACTTGAAGATTTCAATTTTACTGTGAATTTGGAACTAAAAAGCCAAATTTACTAAAAATTGTCTCGTTCCCTCTTTTACCAGCCAAACCTAAAATATATTTTAGTCTTCAATTGTTTTTGCGAATTACTTGAAGATTTCAATTTTACTGTGAATTTGGAACTAAAAAGCGAAATTTACTAAAAATTGTCTTGTTCCCTCTTTTACCAGCCAAACCTAAAACCCTCTTTAAATTGTCCTCTCTAACTTTTTTTTTTTTGGTTTATCTAGTTTAAGTAATACTGCCATGCGATTTCAGATGTGCTCTTTATGTTTTTTTTCCCTTTGAGTTCTGAATTTATTTTATATTTTTACTAATGGCATGTTTGCTCACGGATCATTTTTTTCTTTTCTACAACTTGATATGTTTTTTAGAAGGATTTTGATGCAAGAATGTTTATAATCTTTTTGTTTATGTAATTACAGCTGGATCTTTAGAAGGTGCAGTCCAAGAGGTCGACTTTCTTAAATCTCAGCCCCCGTGTCTTAAATCACTGCTATAAAACTTAGAAGACAACCAGAACTAAACTTTTTCAATGGCAGATTCAAGTGAACAATCTGAACAAGGTTTGAATTTTTTTTCCCTGTATCTTTATTCATATTAAAATTTCGACTTAAATGTCTTTTTTCATATTTCGATACTTGACATATTAAAATTGAAGAGCATGATACTCTGGTTCTTGATTATATTTGTCTGTGGTTGCCGGAAATAATAATTTTTTTAATTAATTTCTTCATCTTCTTATGGTTTTTATTTTCTTTCATCTTTGAAATTTGTGTGTAGTTGGGTCTAGAGATTGGAAAATTTTGATGGGTTTTTTCATGGGGCAATGCAATGATGTATCAAGGGTTGAATCTTTGAACGAAAATCTTAATTCTGATATTAAAAAAAAAAACTAAACCTTTTCTTGTAATACCTTTTCAGACTTAGAACTATGTATCTTGGTGAATAAAAGTGTATACCTTGATGAGTCTTTATACTGAATAAAGACCTTTGATGTAATAAAAGATGAAATACTGCTTCTTTATTTATTGCCTTTTGTTTTGATGGCAGTGCGAGTTAATTTGCATCATGTTTTTCGTTTTCACTATGGAATATATCAATTTAGTAATGAACTAGGTTTTACTTTCGTCGTAGTTCGAATTGTTGGCTTAAAGTTCTTATCTTTATCAGGTTTTGCAATGTAGGGAGTGCTATATTATGGTTTTTGAATGAGGGTAGAATTATAATGTCTTGTCTTCAACTTTTAATCCCTCGGACGACATACAATGTTACTTCTTCTTCCAGTTACATTCTGTTCTACTGTATTTGAGTTTTGAGTATTCTGTATATTTGCTTGTGTGAATGTGATAGTTTGAAGAGAGTGAAATAGTTCATTAATTGAGAATCCAATTTGAGGCTGGGTGTTAAAAATGGTCGACAGTTTGATGTTATGTTTCTCGTAGTTTTCCGTAACATAAATTTGAACAGGGGAAGTTTTGGTTTGTATTTTTATATTGTAAGCATATTGTAAGCTAGGCAGACAAATTAAGCAAGAATTGTTGTTCTGATTAGGCTTCCACTGTATGAGAAGTTTCAATTGCATTTATTGAAATATCTTAGAACAGAAGAATACTGTATAAAAATTGAAATATATTTTTTTTACATTTGATTGCTGTTAATTTTATGGTCTTAATATTTACTCCATTAATTAACTATTTATTGAACTTCAAACGGATAGCTCAGGAGTTACTTGACATGTACTTGCTGTCGCATTTGTATGACATTGGCAACCTAATGAAAATTCATATACAATATCAACTGGAATTTATAAGTGTGATAGTTTACAATATTATACAAACCCGACGGTTAATTACTTGATATTTTCAATTTATTTAGCTTTATATTTCATATGAATCCGTCCTTTTTGTCTTACAAAAGGTAAACTTAGTATGTTTAAATGTAAAGTATTAAGTGCATTTCTGTGCTCAACTTATTTTGTTTAACTAGCGGACCTAAATAATTAGTATTAGTTTTCCAGGATTCTATATATAACATATCAATGAGTTGGCCATGGTGTTCACCACTTATTTCATGGAGATAGTTTTTGAATCTTCAGGGTTTTATGAAATTTTTGTTTCAATCATTCTCTCATTGAACTTTGTGTTCTGATCTCTTAGATTTAGTTGTTTTACTTACTTAATTTTTGGAAACTTAGAAAAAAAATTGTGTTTTGCAGTCTGCAATTTCTTCAGAAAGCCATCCAAGGCCAAAAATATCAGAAAAAGGACTGCCCCAGAAGAGGGGGAGAACGAGGATGAAGATTCTAAAGCTGAGAGTACAGTGATATACAATAAGAAGAAGCCAACTGCTGTTGACAATAAACTACACTTTTCTAGCGGGACTACCAAGCGTTCTATGATGTCAGAGGCTAACCTAGAAACAAGAGCCCCAGTTTTTGAATACGAGTCCTCTAAGGAAATTCAGGTCCAGAATGATAGTAAAGCAACAGCCACGTTGGAAACTGAGACAGAGTTCTCTAGGGATGCTCGGGCTATTAGGGAGAGGGTTCTAAAGAAATCTGAGGCGGCTCTAAAAGGAAAGAAGAAGAGTGATGGTGATGAAAAGTTGTACAAGGGGATACATGGGTATACTGATTACAAGGCTGGGTTCCGAAGAGAGCACACGGTTGCCAGTGAGAAAGCTGGTGGAGCGCACGGACCTCTAAGAGCTTCTGCCCACATTAGGGTTTCAGCAAGATTTGACTATCAGCCAGATATTTGTAAAGATTATAAAGAAACTGGCTATTGTGGGTATGGAGATTCATGCAAGTTCATGCATGACAGGGGGGATTACAAGTCTGGTTGGCAGCTTGAGCAGGACTGGGATGAAAGAGAGAAGGCAAGAAAAAAAGCTTTGGCTTTGGGAATGAAGGATGATGATGAGGGCGATGCTGAGATGAGTGATGAAGATGATGATTCACTGCCATTTGCATGTTTTATTTGTAGGGAGCCTTTTGTAGATCCTGTTGAGACCAAGTGCAAGCACTACTTCTGCGAGCATTGTGCATTGAAGGTAACAGATTATTCACATCTTTTTATTTTAATATTTGCAGTCATTTCTTGAATTTTTTAGGAGGAATCACAATTATGGCTTCTTTGATCTTCTACAAACTAATGCATGATTCTTAGAAGGCAAAAAAAAAATTTAACTAAAAGGCTCCTTTATTTACTAAGAGCTGTCTATCATCACCTGTTGCTTCCATTGTGAAGTGTGAGTATAAAAAATTATGACAGATCGCTGCATTTTGTCATCAATGTTTGATTCCCTTTGGTCTAATTTCAACCTTTTGAACTGTAGTCACAATTTCTATTGGATGTGAGTTCAATCAATCATAATGGCAATCCCTCAACCCTCACCCAAAAAAAGAAAGAAAGAAAGAAAACAACTCGCTTGAAAAGAAACTAAATTGAAAAACTAAGTACATGACAAATATTTTTTTTAGTTTTTACTATTGAATTCAGTTCATTGTTCATATTACCATGCAATAAGTAGTGCCTGAAACTTTAAAAAAGAGAGTACATATCACATTATATTATCCAATTCCAATTGTGATTTCATTTCTATGTTTACAGCACCATGCAAAAAGTAAGAAGTGCTTTGTGTGCAACCAGCCGACCAATGGTATTTTTAATACAGCTTTTGAGATACGCAAGAAGATGGCTGCTGAAGGAAAATGACGGATCTAAGGATACACCGTAATAATTTTGAAGTTCCATGTGTTTACTATCTTTATTGTAAGTTCTCTCTGTAGGATGTTTCTTTTCAACATGGGTTTGTATTCGGCAACTTTGTACTGGATTACTATTGAACCTTTTCAACTTTGTTGTCGATGTAAATGTTTAAGTTGATTGTAAACTGTATGGGTCGCTAGTTCACTTAATAACGGAGGTTAGCGGAGTTTCTATTTCCATCGATAGCAGTGCAAAATGCCTTCTCAATTTTAGCTGTGTCTTTGTAACCCATGGCCATGATCTTGAAAAGGCAATGCCTCACTCACCTTTAAGAAGTAGGGTTCATCCCCCAACTCGTTGTCATTAAAGGTCATTCAGATTTTTCCAATATGTTTCAAACTTTCAGTTACACTAAGAGAGATGCGATATTATAGTTTTAGAGCTGCGATTGGAACCCTTTTATATATCTTGAGATGTTTAACTAATATGCTTAAATTGTTTATATTGGAACTCAGAGTTCAAGTGTAGGAGGAAAACTGGCATGTAGATTGCCAAGATTATTACTTGCGTGAGGTATGAACTGGGATTCATGATACAACCATCCTCTTGACATAATTCTAAAGCTAAGATCTGATAGTTTACATACGCACCTTTGTTATTATGTGGTAGTGGTAGTTAAGACCGTAGCAGTCTCGGTCATTTGTAATTTGTTTGTTGCACTTCATATTATCTTAAGCAATGTAGAGCTTTCTTTGTGGTAGGATCTTGAGTTTTTGAATCATTTCCTGAATTTTGCTTATAAATTGTTGAATAAATTTTCCTAACTCGCATCAACATATTATATCAACATTATCGGCGAACTATCCATACAATTATACAATGATAAACAAGATGCTTACATGATTATATTTACAAGATTGAAGAAAAATTAAGTTTCTGCATTCAAGTCTTGTGAAAACCTGGAATTGATAGCCAGGAAAAAGTTTAGACGCTAGTCCTTATTTTCTTTGCCACTAGCCAATCTTCGAAATTAGGTTTGTGGCCCAATAATGGCCACAGCTGGTTCCTCTGTTCTCTTGCTTCTTTGACGACAAGCCTTGCACGTTGTCTGGTAACATCATTCAATGCCTTAAGATAATTGCTTGATTCATGGTCCCTAATGATTGTACCATCAGAACCATAGGCTTTGGGATCACTTAGAGTTTCCAGTGGATGGGGAGAATTTAGGAATGCTCGAAGAGCTCTCTTGGTAAGGGTGCAGTCGGTATTTTCCAAGGCGTACAAGGCACTGCCTGAAGGAAGTAAATGATGAGGAGGAGATGACTTCTCATTGGGCTGAAGAATAAACATTTTCCCCACAGGAGAATATAATAATTTCTGCAAAGAATTATGAAATTTAGCAGGAAAAATTAGATATATTGGCAAAGCTAACATTTGAAATTTAATAGCAATCGATAATGTGAATGCGGATGCAGGTATTTGTGTCAACATCTTATCAATTATCCCGAATCTAGCAAGTTAACTGAAAAGGCACTTACATTTTTCTTTAGACAAGGATGGGACCGAAAGGTGCCATTTAGACGCTTCAGGACTTGAGCTGCATAGTCAGGGTAGGTACAGGAGAATGCTCTCGAGACTATATCTCTGTGCATCATCACACAATAAACATGGTTTTCGTCCAAACCCAATTTATCGAGGACTTTCTGACCTTCACAGAAGAAAAATGGTGACCCAAAAGTGACCACTGGTAGAAGAGCAGATGGCCTAACTACCTTTCTTGTTAGTAACATCAAGTTGACTAGAAGTGCAAGACTGCCCCCTAGACTCAAGATTAAGAGAGCTTTTTCTTGAAATGGCAAATAAACAATGAAACCTATTTCTTACGTTCCTATAAATTCTCGTGGCAAGAGTAGTCTTACCCATACTTCAAGTTCCAACAAATGATATTATCCTACATTGTGAGTTTTGGCACAGCAGTTCTATTCTGTGGATGTTATCTTCTTTTTCAACTCGGACTTATTGAAATATGTTTAATGTACGCTCTTCCAAAACAGTAATGCTTCTACAGTTTGGGAACTTATAAATTCGGCGTTTTTGTAAATTTGTTATTACTGGTAATGTATGAAGATTGTTGTTGTCTTCCTCTATAAAGCATTGAGATGGGAAGTGCCATTTACATCTTTTGGACTCAAGCAACATCATATAAGTGCATTTTTCATTTTAAATAATCAATGAGAAATTTATGTGTGCTCAAATGTCAACAAGTGTTTGTTCTATTCAAAAAATGAGTTATTTTCCCATTAGTTTAGGGCAACAATACATATATAAGGTGTTTGAAAGAAACGATTTAAAAATTACGAAATTTGTTTTAAAATTTAAAAAATCTGGTCATAATTAAATATATTAGAATGTCTCAGTCATAAATCACTAATTTTATTGATCATAACTTATTTATTAGTTACAAATTATAAAATTCAATAGTCATGCATTATTTTTCAAACATTACATAAATCACAAATTTTATAGATCAAAATATATTTATCGATTAAAAATCAAATTCATAGGTCAACTATTATTTCTCAGTTAAAAATCATAAAATTTGTAACTCGCGACTTATATCACAGTAACGTATTATAACTTAACAAATTTAGACGTAATCAAACATTTTATAGTTCTTATATTATTTATTAATTACAAATTATCTATTTTATCTATTACAAATAGCCCACTCCACCCCACCCCACCATCGGTACTAATCGAACATCGCGTCACCTCACCACCAGTGCCACCATTGCCCGCACCAGCACCAACATCACCAGCACTACAATCGTCGCACCACCACCACCACCAACCACCAACAAAAATCATCTTAAAACTCCGGCTAAACAACAGATAGAGATAAAGAAACAACCTCAAAACCACCCTAAAAACAATAGATGTTGTGAACACCGTGAGGGGCTATGTGAGCACTGCTACGTAACGATGCTCGCTAGTTGTCTTTCAAGGTGAAAGAAAGAGGAGAATAATTCAGGGAGTGAAATGGAGATGAGGTGAGCAAAGTGGGGTGGTAGATTAATTTAATTGTATAATATTATTATTATTAATATTTCAAAGTTGAATTATCACTTGATTTTCGAATAAAAAACATTTAAACTTAATTTTTGAATTGAAAAGTGAAAAATCACGTGTGAGTGTAATTTTCACTCACTTTAGTGTCGGAAAACAAGTGAAAGCCCTGGTCCAATACCCACAAAATACCCGTCTCCTAAACATGTTCAAGAAAATCAGTGGGATTAAAAATAAAAATCATGCATATTCCTCGATTGAAAACGGCCTGAATAACTACATTCCCACCCTTCATGAAAGTTTTCAAATTTGGCAGAACCTTC